GATTCGAACCCGCCACCTTAGGTGTACGTGGCTGGCGCCTTAGCCGGTTGAGCTATAGGCGCTGAGCCGAAGCAGAAATATTCAACAAGAGCCTAACAAACAGACTCCAGCAACACATCAAACAAATTATACACCATGACCAAGTGGGTTTTGTCCCAGGATCTCAAGGCCGGTTCAACATACGTAAATCTATAAATGTAATCCATCACATAAACAAATTAAAAAACAAAGATCATATGATTCTCTCACTTGATGCAGAAAAAGCTTTTGATAATATCCAACATCTCTTCATGATCAGAACACTTAAGCAAATTGATATAGAAGGGACATTTCTCAAATTGATAGAGGCCAGCTATAGCAAACCCACAGCCAATATCATATTGAATGGAGTTAAATTGAAATCATTTCCACTCAGATCTGGAACCAGGCAAGGGTGCCCATTGTCTCCATTGCTTTTTAACATTGTAATGGAAGTTTTAGCCATCACAATTAGGGAAGAAAAGGCAATCAAGGGTATTCATATAGGGTCAGAAGAGATTAAACTCTCACTATTTGCAGATGATATGATTGTATACCTGGAAAACACCAGGGATTCTACTACAAAACTCTTAGAAGTGATCAAGGAATACAGCAGAGTCTCAGGTTACAAAATCAACACCCATAAGTCAGTAGCCTTTATATATACCAACAACACTCAAGCTGAAAAACAGTCAAAAACTCTATTCCAGGTCTTCCCTTTTCCCAGCGGAGGGACATGAGTGTCCCTGGGCCGCGGTCCCCGAATGGGCTCCCACAGGGCCACCCAACAGTCTGGAGGCCGGGGAGCCGACACCGGGTTTAAGTGACACTTCTCCAGATGAAGGGTTAATAGAGGACTTGCCTGTAGAAGACAAAGCTGTGGAGCAACTGGCAGAAGGATTGCTTTCTCATTATTTGCCAGATCTGCAGAGATCGAAACAAGCCCTCCAAGAACTCACACAGAACCAAGTTGTATTATTAGACACACTGGAACAAGAAATTTCAAAATTTAAAGAATGTCATTCTATGTTGGACATTAATGCTTTGTTCACGGAGGCTAAACACTATCATGCCAAACTGGTGAATATAAGGAAAGAGATGCTAATGCTTCACGAAAAAACATCAAAGGTAAAAAAAAGAGCCCTTCAACTGCAGCAGAAGAGGCAGAAAGAAGAGTTGGAAAGGGAGCAGCAACGAGAGAAGGAATTGGAACGAGAAAAGCAGTTAACTGCCAGACCAGCTAAAAGGACATGAAAAGTTGTATTTGTGTGTTTTCTTCTCCATTCAATATTTGGATTAAGCAACTTAAATGTGTTGACTGAACTTGAGGTAGTGCCTTATACCATGATTATGGTTTCTCCATATCTTCATTTCAGACATTCAAAAGCCTTCTTTCTAACCAGCATGCACAATGTCACTTGGTTTTGATATTTTTATGTAATTTCTTCAACGTTTCTTTAATTTTAAAATTCATTATTATTTGGCCTCATTTATAATCTAGAAAATAGTTTGTTACAAGTCTAGTGTTTTAAAATTAGTGTAAAATTTTTAGCTTCTTAATGTAGATTTCAGTTTCCATTTCTTATTTTGTGAAATAACTTGCCTTTCTGGCAATACAATGCTGAATTTTGGTAATTAGTCTTCTCATTGCCTAGTTAAGAAATGCCTACTATATAATCACGTATGCCCCT